CTGTGACAGACATAGGCTTTATTAATAAACTAAATAACTACAGTATTTTCTATTGCAATATTTATTAATAAGCCATAATTAAGAAAGTGGATTTTCCACGTTTGATTTTAATCGAAAAATCATAAAATTTGTATTGTTACAGATCGACCAGGATTAAAAGGTGTTGGTGAAATAGGTCGATTAAGTCAAGCAGTGTTAAGAGCTTTACGTATCGAGCTTGAAAAAAATCATCTACTCCCAATTAAGGGAGACGTAACAGTTTGTGATGCCTTGTTGACAAAAATACCTACTTTAAGGTACGCTAAATTTCTACATAGTATGCATGTACAATATTTTCAGTTTAAAATTTTTCGATTTCCTCTATCTTATTAAGATGATACTTTAAGATTATAAATTAAACTGTTAATATTTAACCGTTTATTAGAAGTATATTTATAAGGGATGAAAGGAGGTATTTATTTGAAATCAATCGGTCCACAAATCAAAGACCTATTTAATGGAAGTATTTTCAAAACTGCAGCATCCTTAGTTATACAGGAAAAATACCATTAGGTACTTCGATATTTTAAATAAGAATGATAAATGTACCCGTAAAGCTTTACTCTTTAAAAATATTTTAAGGCGAAAATTTTAGCAAAAAACATCAGTAACAAAACAATTATTATCTTGGAACATAAAAACACTTTTCTAATTTTTCAAACTGTTATAAATTCCTTAAGCAAATAGAAACCGAAAAAAATAAAGTTTTTGAATGGCACCATACCCGTTTGACTACGCCAATAAAAATTACAAAAAGAAAAAATGATTCTAAAGTTTTGAAGAATTTGTCTTTTTCGTTTAATCTGTTACGTACAAACATGTATGTGATAATCAATACATTGATTCCCTACAACTGCGGAGTGTGCCCGCAGACAGGGACCGACCGATGGTCGAAAACCTTTTTACTGAAGGCGCGAAGGGTAATAAATCATACTTTGAGTGGCACATATTCCCCTGCTTAACAATAGGAGTTTCGAAATTCTAGAGAAGAATGAAGACTGGTTCAAGAGAATTCGATAACAATATAAATAGGCCTCTGGATAACAGCCGGAGTTACTGTAGCTGATTAGTTATATAAATAAACTGTGAACTACAAGCGAATCTTGAGTGATATAAATGTAGTGACGAGTAAATAAGCCTTAATAATACAGTGTGATATAAATAAGAAGTAGTTTAAGGGCCTAGTTACTGTTGCCGTATAAATAATAGATAACTACAATATAAATAGTTCTTAATTAAATAGAAATAAATCCTACAAAATTCGTTACATATAGAAATCATGAAGGATAATTTTCTAGTAAGGCCTAATGGCGAACTTCTACTAGAATCGAAAACAACACAGATTCGAAAGAATGCATTTTCATTAAACAGATCTCGTTTATTTGTAGAAGTTTACCAATTTACATATCAATACTTCTTTTGCTTTCCTTTTAACTTCTAATGAACGGTTTAGATTTAATTTAATTTTCAATTTTCACATAATTGTAGTAGGAAAAATGGACTGAAATTTTGCTTTTTTTGTATGTAGGGATATTAGTATGCTTCATATGGATGCTTTAGGAAAATTGAAAAGATCTGCTCCACACTTAGAATTTCCAGCACTTCACAAAGAACTGTTCAGTGTGGACAGTTGAGACAGTTCACCTGTGCCCTCTCAACTTAGCCGAAAGCCTTCAGAAGCCACGGTAAGTATCAAGAAGAAATATAATGTAGCTTGTTTATTAATTTGTGTGTTATATAAAAAGGCCCGATAATAATAGAATACGAAGCTTATTAGCTGTTAATCATATTTTTATGGATATAATTATTTATTTGTGGTTAAACTGAGTTCCCACATTTACCTTGTTCATTTAACATAATATATTTTTTTACTGTAATCATGAAACGAATTAGCGAGAATATAATTGGTTTTAGTATGTGTATATATGTATGTACATTGTACATACATTATGCTGTGTTCTACCTTTTTCTCATCCAAGCTGCAGCTTTACGTTTTTATTTTCTATGTCAAAATGCAGGTAAGTACATTAATTTAACTACTATTTGCTTACGCTTTTTAAACGATTTTTGAAAATTGTCAAAGGAATAACAACTCATAATAACGTTCAAAGACTGAAAAGAACACTCTTCTTTTCACCCTGAGCCGACCTCCGCATTTATCGAAAACTTCAACATCGCACATACGCTTTTAACTACCTATATTTCAGCAAACAGTAATCTAATGTATGCCTTTCTTTGCCCTTTTTTGAGAACTCCTATTTTTACTTCTATATGTCTCTAATAACTAGCTCCCTGCTTTAAAAGATACCCTAACATCCTATATTTTTTCCTTGTTGACTCCTTCTGTTCGTTCTTCTTTTTTTAAATATCTATCCACGGCATTTTTATCATTCGCCTGAAACACCACGTCTTAAGCACTTCTAACAATTTATTTTCTACCTTGTTCACCGATCACGTTCTGCACCCATGCAAAGCAGTGATCCAAACATACACATTTAATAATCTTAACTTAATAATTAGTCGTTCGCAAAAGCTATTCGACTTGATCTGCCTACCTGCCTAACCTAACCTAACCTTTCACAACCCATACACAAAATTATTTCAATTAATTTTTACTTCAGTAGGCAAAATATTACTTTAATTTTCGGACTCTCATGTTAAGTATACTGTGTTCTGTTAATGGTTTTTACGATTTTATAATCAATTCATGCTAATTTCGTCTTCTAAAGTTTCTTATCCTATTGTTAACGGTCTTTTAATTATTTTGATTTCATTTTTCCCTTTGATTTTAAAAAACTTTTCTGTTACAGATTCCTTTATACTGAATGTATTGGCCTTAATTATATAGATAACTTAAGTGATGACGAATATAAAAGCTCTTGTTGTGACTAATTTAGAATGCAGATCTCTTTCGTTTCGATTTTCGTTATAATTTTTTTTTTAATGATATTTCGTTGTTTTGTTTGGGGCGTTGCAAAGTGTCACCTACTCCCGGGCCCTGATCACAAAGTACAACCGTTTGTTTGTTGTTTGTTATACGACTGTAGTGGCCGCATTGTTGATTATTGAACACTTGGTGCTGATTTATGTTGAAACGAATGGTAAAACACGCTTTGTGACACCTCGAACCCCACAAATACAACATACAAAATATAAATCGTTATTACATGTAGTAATCTGCCACTTAACATTATTAAAAGTAAAACACATAAATAAACAAATCTCTACACTATAAATAACATAATATATTTTATAGTTGGAGCTGTTATAAAA